GGTGCCTGCAAGGCCTGAAGCCACGAGGATGGGCTCCGTGGCCCCTTCTTACCCGGCTAGGGCGAAGGTTGGCTGGTGCTCAGGCTCTGGGAAGGGAGTGGGTGGGAGAAGCAGGGCTCTGCCTGCCCCACGCTTGCTCCTACTGGCCCGGCAATGATTAATCTGGAAAGCCACGAGGTCAAAGCCCTCCTGCCTGATGACCCGCACCAGTCTGGCAGCTGCCTGCATCGGGTTTGCGTGGCAAGGTTCTGGTAGCCAGGTTGGGGGGCGTGGGCTATTGGTAGGGGGCTTCTGTGAGACGCTGCTCAAAGCCTTCCCGATGTCGGATACAGGCAGGGAAGGGGTGGGGAGAAGGTGGTTTAAGATTTAGTTTCTATTTTTCATTATCCTACTCCAATTTGATCGGTGATTAGTTTAATTTATAAACTAATTTCCTCCAGTCAAGTGTTTTTCCCGTGACAGTAATGGGTAAGCGATCTCTCCCTGTCCTTATCTCAACCCACGAGCCTTTCCTTATATTTCCTCTCCCCTGTCCAGCTGAGGAGGGGAAGTGATAAGAGGGGCTTCGGTGAGCACCTGGTGTCCAGCCAGGATCAACCCACACCACCCCAGAGCTCCTGTCAAGCCCCTCACTCCTCAACTGGTGCTGTCCTGGGCATGGGTGGCAGCCCCCCCCCCTCCAATTCCTACTCAGTGGGGACAACAGGGCAGCTCTGCCTGCCCCATTGGGGTCCCTGTGATGTCCCCAGCCCAGTGATTAACCCACCCCCATGCTTTGCTTTGCCTCGGGGAGGGGGGCACAGGGCTGCTGGTCTGGCTTACAACAAGAAGACACAGCCCTCACCAGGCTGTGAGAAGAGGAGGCTCAGGGGGTACCTTACCAGTCTCTACAATTACCTGAAAGGAAGTTGTAGGGAGATGGGGGTCAGTCTCTTCTCCCATGTTATGAATGACAGGACAAGAGGGAATGGCCTCAAGTTACACCAGGGGAAATTTAGGTTAGATATCAGGAAAAATTCTTTACAGAGAGGGCTGTGAAGTATTGGAACAGGCTGCCCAGGGAAGTGGTAGAGTCCCCATCTGGGGGTGTTTAAAAACCGTGTGGATTTGGTGTTGAGGAACATGGTTTAGGGACCCTGACAGTGCAGGGTGAATGGCTGGACTCGATGATCTTGAGGGTCTCTTCCAACCAGATGATTCTGATTCTATGATTCACCAGGAATGCAGAAATGGGCATTTACATGGCAAGAAAAACCAGAAAGGTAAGAGATTTTTGCAGGTTTCCCCCCCCAAGCCTCTTTTTTCCAGCACTACCCCCAGGCGTGCTGCCCCCGAGAAGGGTGACAAGAGGCTGTGCTGCACTCTGCTCCCACCTCTGCAGCGCAGCACATATGCCCTCTCCCTTCGTGACGGGCTCTAGGGCTCATTCTCAGGGGGACGAGACCCCCTCCTCAAGGAAGCAAAGCCTCAAGGGGTGAGAGGCCACTGTGCTCTAATCTGAGGCAGGCTGAAGGAGATCTGCCTCACCAGAGGGAAGGCTCTGAGCTGGAGCCACCAGCCCCCCACTCCAAGCCATTGGAGGCGAGTCTGGGTCAGTTCCAACTCATTTTTATAAAGAAATAGTAGATTTGGGAAAGTGAAGCAGCTCTCCTTCCAGCCCCCAGCAACGCCCCGACTTCACAGGGCAAGGGGAGGATCCAAAAGCTGGTTCCTGCAGGTCATGGTGCCACGTAACCCGCTCCAGCTCTGTCCTGTTGTCTGTCCAACACCGAGGGCCTGGGCAATGACTTCTGCCCACTGAACCGAGGAAGCGTCCCTGAAGAGGAGCAGAACCCGCAAAAACCCTGGCTGCCCAGGCCAGGCATCGCCGTGCCCTGTCTCCCATCTCACTCCGCGGCTGCTTTGTGCCGCACGGGTGTCTTCTGGAGCAGGGCCAGTGTGTCCCGCTTCTCCACCCGCCGCAGCTGCTTCTTCTTCGCCCGCTTGAGCTTCAGTGGGTTCCGGATCTGGGAGGAAGGAGAGTGGGGAGAGGGGGAAGAAGGGACTTTCAGGCACAGAGATCACACCGGAGGGGAGACAGGCAGGATGGGCACAGCGGAATTCACAGCCTCCCACCCCTGCGGCACAGCCCATCAGAGCCAGGCCCCTCCACACAGAGCTGCAGGACGGCATCTTCTTCCTCCAGCTGCCAAAACAGCAGATGTAGCAATGACGAAAGTCTGTACATGGAGCCATCTGGCTCTTGACCAGATTCATCCTAAAACTCTGCACTGGGAATGTCTCCAAGTTGCCCCAGCTTGTGTCAGGGAGAACAGGCAATAACCCCTCCCACACTCCCACTGCACAGCTATGCAGGTCTTCACCGCACCCACCTCAAGCTCCGAGGTCTCTTCCAGACAGAAAAGCTTTGACTTTGCCATATGAAAGTCCAATGTGCTTGGATCCAAATCAGTGCCAAGTTCCCTTGCTCTATCACCCCATGTGCCAGCAATCCCCCCTCCCTGGTTTTCTCAAGCTTGAAAGAGAAGTTGTCCCCCACACACACACCCACAGGACACCAGCTGCCTGTTTGGCAGGGGAGACACCTTCCTGGTACAGCTAGGTTCGTCTGGATTCCCCCAGTCCTCCCAGTGCTGCTCACAGCATCCTTCAAAGGAGGAGCCACGGAGAGGAACTGGAGTAAACTGGAGCCCAGGTCCTGGGGTCTGGAGGCTGCCAGCGCTGCCAGACCACCACGGTGCCCCCAGCCATGAGCAGGGCTGTGACTCACCACTTGGACAATCTCCGCCTTCCGCTCATTTTCCAGGCGTCGCTTCAGGTTCTCCTCCCGCCGCCGCTTCTTCTCCTGTGGAAGTAGCACCAAAACATTCCTTGCAGGTCCGTTCCTCCCTCTGAGCTTAAACCCAAACCAGCATCAACCCGTGGCTGATGCAGACGCTGGTCAGGGAGCTGCACAGCTACAACCAACACCTGCCCAAGAATGAAATCTGCTGCACAAAGCCGAGCCAGCTGCGCTCTTCCCCACCCCAAGGCTTGAACTGACTGAGCGAGTTTATTCCGAGTCAGGGACTTGCGGCATGTGACCGTCGCAGCCTGGATTTGGCAGGACGACAGGGAATTCATCATCCCAGCTGCCCTTCTCATGGAGTTCGTGCTCGTTGCGGGGCAGGTGCTCCGTAGGGCTCTGTCACAATAACGTGACGGCTCCGAATCCCGGGATGCGGGCAGCAACACAGGGCTGGGTAAGGGGAAAGGTGGAAAGCATCTGGTCGAGGCCTGGCTCTGCAATATGGCCCCAAGCTCGTCTTGGCAAAGAGAGCAGTGTGACAAGCAGTCACTGCACATGGAGACAGAAGGCATAGAGGGGCTGGGTGATGCTGCCTGCAGGGTCAGCTCCCCAGACCCATTACCTCTCGCTCTCTCTGTTTCTGCTCCTGAAGTTGCCGTGCCAGGTCCTACACCCTCCCTCCCCTGCCGCTCCTTCATCTTCCGTGCCCAGGAGGTGCGAAGGGCCTTGTCCTGGATCATGTGTGAAAACCTGAGCAGGCAGATGGGCCGTGTCAGCAGCCAGAGGCGGCAGAGCTCACAGAAACCCTACGCAGCCTGGCCCCTCTG